CCCCCCGAGTGGTTGTGGGGATTTGGTGTCGAGGTCACGGGAGGGATGGGAGCTGTGAGTTTCCAGACCAGGGGGGACGAGCATGGGCTGGGGGTCCTGTTGCGGTGACGGGGTCCTGGGGCCAGACTCTGCAGTCAGGTGCCTGGTTCGTGTGCCCACCAGAGACCGTGTCTGCTCAGAATAGCAGGACTGCCACTCACAGTACGTCTGAAATATGCAGCCACAGACACACGCAAGTAAATGGGAAATGCAATTTCCAGATGCAGGTGGAACCCCAGCAGGGAACAGAGAACTAAGCTGAGTCTCCACTGGTGCCTGGACCTCGGAGGGCTCATAGGGAGGACGTTTCCACCAGTGTGGACACAGAGGGGTTCCCCAGGGTCCTCTCATTGCAGAGGGGTCAGGGCTCCAAGAGAAGGTCGTGCTGCATCCTCAGGAGAGACAAGAAGGGCTTAGGGGTTGGATCCCTTAACCACCAGATGTAGCTGCGTCTCCCAGGACTGGAGTCATACACTCACAGAAGGAAATGAGAAAGGGTTTCCCTGCAACTTGCTGTGGAGAGAGAATGGGAGAGAAGGCATTTGCAGAACTGCACGTTTTCAGGTAGTCAACTATTTTTACTCTCAGCGAGCAGATGCCAAGTGTTACAGTTCAAGTAGAACAGGAACCCAGGGGGCACCTTGTGTGTCTCTGTCCCTAAGGTTCTGACTCTCGATTTCGATTTCGACTCAGGTCATGATCTCAGGGTCGTGGGATCTAGCTCTGGGTCAAGCCTGACATCAAGCTCTGTGCCTCGCCCGGAGTCTGTTTGTCCCTCTCTCTCAGCTCCTGCCTCACTCTCTTTCTCTCTCATATAAATAAATAAAATCTTAAAAAAAAAAAATGAAAAGGAACCCAGTTGTGAACAGGAACCCAGGATGGAGAAGGTGAGGTGTAACATGAAGGACAAATGGCAAACATGGAAGCGTTGGAAAATATCAGAGACAGACACAGCACATATACACACATATATAGGAACAGTCACAGTCCAGGTGAACTGTGACTAGAATCTTGTCCTACCTCAAGGGAGACGGTAATGAGCACCTGTTCAGAAAAATGTAAACACTCACATTAAATAGGTGTGCAATGATCTAAAACGAGAAATGACATGACTTCCAAAGTGCTTGGTGTAATCAAATGAAACTATATTGTTTCCACCTTATTGAGGTATAAATGACAAATAGAAATTGGATATCTTTCAGATACATAACTTGATGTTTTGCTATATGTATGGTTGTGGAGTGACCACCACATTCAAGCTAATTAATGTGTCCAGGACCTCATGCAGGGAGCATTTGTGTATGTGTGTATGTATGTGTGTGTGCATGTTTGCGTGTGGTAGGGACACTGAAGACCTACCCTCTAAGCAAATTTGCAGCATACAATAGGCTCCAGTTAGCTCCAGTCAGATTACTGTGCAGTAGATCTCCAGAACTTACTCGTCTGCATGACTGAGACTTGATACCCCTTGAGCAACATCTCCCCACGCCCCCGTTTGCCCGGCCCCGTAACTACTACTCTACTGGGTGTCTAGGAGTTTGCTATTTGGGGTTTCACACATCAGTGAGATCGCCCTGTACTTGCCCTTCTGTGTCTTGCGTATGGCACTTCCCGTAATGTCCCCCGGGTTCACCCAGGTTGTCGCAAATGACAGGATTTCCTTTTTCAAGGTGGAGTAGTGCTCCTTTCAGATAAATATCCTCTTTTCTTTATCCATTCATCTGGAGACAGACGTTTAGGTTGTTCTCATACCTTGGCTGTTGTGGTTAATGTTGCAATGAACGCGGGGGTGCAGATGTCTGTTTTGAGATCCCGATTTCATTTACTGTGGACTAGCCTCAGGAGTGGGATTGCTGGATCC